TCATAGTTTTGGTCTCGGTACCATAGACCTCGATACAGATATATTTATATATACATGTATATGCAAACCAGACTTGTCAGAGCACACTGCTACAAGGCCGCTATTATTTTACCGCCCGAGGGTAACAAAACCATTTGCCCAATTCACCCCCAAAATGATATATTTATACCCTTCCCACGATGTCTAATAATTTCTCCGCTCCCCTGGAAACTCATTCGATGATTTACAAGAAATTTACAAGCCCAAGAAGAGTGAAATTTACCTATTAAAATTTCAGCAGTAGACAGGCCAACAGCGGAGGTGACGGCAAACATGAGGAATGCCCCTGGCACCGAATGATGGCGCTGTTGCTATACACCAGCATACTCACAATGATACGTATGATATGCATGGCATCCCTCACATACCCTCCAAAGTTAGCTTGGATATTTGTTGACGAGTGCCAATAATGATAAATTCCGTTTTATTGTCATTCAAAAATAATCCATTATTAAACATCCATTGTTTGACATCGTGTATGCAAGCCTCCATAGCTGACAGGGCAAATTCCTGACTACCAGTTTCATCTGGACAAAATGATAAATACAACTGAGTATCGTCTGCATAGCAATGGATTCTTGGGTGATGAGCATTGACGATGTCAAACAACTGACTAGTGTACAAGATAAACAATAAAGGACCTAAACATGACCCTTAAGGAACACCCCATTCAAGACTGCGTTTACTAGATAGTTTACCATTGACCAAAAGCCTTTGAGATCTACCACTCAAATATGAGTTCAACAAGATGAGGACAGTGCCAATAATTCCAAAACGTGACTGGAATAAACTCAAAAGAACATCATGATCTAATGTGTCTAAAGCTGCACTCAAATCCAACAACACCAGAAGTGTAACGTGTTTCCTGTTCACGGCCATCAACAAATCATGTTGATGTAGTAACTTGAGCAAATATCATTCCCATGTTCAAGCCTGGTGGAAGGGGAAGCCACTACTGACTTGCCTGAAAACTTTTGGCCAATTCAAATAGTTTGACTAGTGGGTGTAATGTGGTATTACAAGACAGGAGAGTGATGGTCTGCTTGGCCAAATTTTGAAAGTCAAATTTCTTTTTGGGTCCAGCATAGAGTCCGAGTTTCAAAACATGAGTAC